CACCCCATTTCGTCTTTCTTCAAGTGGGTTCCCTTTCTTTCCTTTCAAATTTTGATCTTTTTTTCAACAATTTTTGCCTTTTTTTTTGTTGTTTTCTTGAATCATTGAAATTTGGGATTGGTCTGCTGATTTCAATCTTAAGTGTTATGTTATACCTTTTCAGCTGAATTTTTTTACTGTAGTTGCTACTAATCTGATGTTTGCTTTCAGTGTGCTGCTTTGGAGAAATGAACAGAATTCTGCTTAGATGCAGAACTAATGATCAATGACTATTAATTCATAAGTCCTCGGATTATTGATTATTGGGTTAATTTTATCTCTATGTACAACAGATTCAATCCTTGCAGCTTGGGATTAGATTTAAGATCCATTCCATCCGCATTGAGTCCTTTAATTGTGCATTTAGAGATTCGGTTCCAGATGGTTAGAGTTAAGGCGCAATTTCCATTGAATATATGTCAGGCAGTGACTCGAGCACAGTTTACAGCTAGGAGTTAAAAAGTAAAAATCTTGAGGAAAAGTAACCTCAGACTTCCTTATGAAGAAACCTAAGATTGAACATAAAGCTCTAGGAGTTCCTATTTGGAACTGTAGCAACCACTAGCAAAAGAGGGGAGGTGGAAATTCTGCTGACTAGAGTTGACTTGCAAAGGTTAAGATGTACTATAACATAGTTGTGTAGGGAGGAGCTGATGCATAAAACTGTTAAACACAACCAAGCAGATTCCAATAAATGAATGATAATAATCACAACTCAGACATATATTGAAGAAAGATCCCTTTAGTGTGTGTCACACCAGGTTGCTCTAAAATACGAAATGCAGGGCAAGCTGGAAAAGCTAAAGAGCTTTGGATTACAAGCAATTCCAAATGCGTCCGCATACTGAACAATTGTTAGAAATATAAAGCTCCAAACTCCAGTAGGAAATTCCATTTATGTAACAAAATGTATAGCATGGCATGGGTTGCAGTTAATTGTTTGAAACCAGTGGTAGTAGTTTTAGAAAGGATTGTAGAATAAAATGCATAAAGTTCTTCTCCTGACTTGATCTATGTTGCCCAAGTGGCAATGAGGTTATTAGCAATAACATGTAAAATTGTAGACAACTGGACGAGTACCTTAACACCTACTTTCTCCGGTCATTTGGTGAACAACAGGAATACCCTTTCTTTGTTATCTAATCTGCAATAAAACACAAAAATAGGTACAGGAGAATGAGAATTCTCAATTCCGTGCTAATTTTTTGTGATTCATCTTTGTTCTTAGAAGGCTACCTTTCTCAATGAAGGATCTTTTCCACAACTCAGGTACAACGAATGTATACTTACCTTTTTTTTTTTGGATGTCTACCTGCTAATTACTGTGAATTCATGTAATATAACTCCTCCGAAATATCTTACTGACTTTGGATCATTCAGTACTTCTTAAGAAGAAGGAAAGCCATCGTGTAGCTTACTGAAATTTGAAACTCAGTTTTTATGTCACACCAAAACCTGGGATGTTTTGATGTGTGCCTTTTCTGTTGTACTTCTAGAACATAGAGTAAGGAGCGGTTTTTGACATGAGAAGATGGTACCAAGATTGCATTCCAGATTTCATTAGGTGATAAATTATTATTTGTTAGTGTCATAGGATCTTGTAAGATGGGAGTATTTGAAGTGTCTTTGTGAAGTTTTTCGAGCATGACAGTGAACACGAAGACCTGTCACAAAAATTGCAACATGGCTTTTTTGTGTTGAAGTTTTGATGCCTTATCGCGGCCAAGCTGCATTTCTGCTTTAGCTACCTATACACTTTTCTCATGTCTGTTCTTGTTGTGTACCTTTTAATGGCAAGTGCCTTACAAAGTTCTGATTAGAGCTTTGAATTCTACTGTCAAAAAATTGTTTGATATGTTTTATAAAACAGGATAGATTATTGGCTGTGGTTATGCTAAGCTAAGTTGCTCGGACACGGGTACGGGTGTCCGACATGGGTACGGATCTATAGGTCGGATCCTTCGAGATGTATAAGATTCGGGGATACGGATCCTAGTACGGATACGGGTGCGGGAATCCGGCTAAAAATAATTCAAAAAAACAAAAATATAAAACATGTCTCTGAATTATGAGAAATTATGTGAAATACTTAACTATAGATTGTAAAGTGTGGATTTCTTTTTTATTCTCAAGTTGTAGATAAGTAAATAATTGATTTCTTAGATAATGTATGTTATTTTCTTCAACTTTACCCTAATTATTAGGATTCTGATTTCAGGAACCAAATTGTATCTCGTTTCGAATTTTCCGTCCGTCGTGGTGAAAGTACCCGAAATTGTTTGACCAGATCCGGTAGGATCCCATTCCCACACTCATGCTAGTGTTGTGTCGACAGGGGTACGGCACCTAAACTGCCATGTCGGAGCAACTTAGATGCTAAGTATGGTAATGGGAAAGCTGTGGCCATTACCTGTCATGTGTTATCACTATTCCAATGTCATCTGTATTTGAGTCTCCTCATTAGTATTGCTACTATTTTTTGTCTACATTAGTTTTTGCATCCTGTTCCTCTATTCACTTATTCAGTCCTTCTCATTTCAGTTATGATTGCACAAATAGCAGTAGCAACAACAGTTGGAGTGTTGGGATGGGCTTATTTGGCCTTACTTAAGCCTCCTCCTCCAAAAGTTTGTGGCTCACCGGGTGGCCCTCCGGTGACTTCGCCAAGGGTCCAACTCAGCGATGGGCGATATTTAGCCTACAAAGAGGAGGGCATTGACAAGGAGAAGGCAAAGTACAAGATCATTATTGTTCATGGCTTTGATAGTTCTAAAGACTTGAAGTTACCTATTTCTCAGGTATATATGAAATTTAGCAGATGAAAGTTTATAAAACTGAATATTTAGCGTTTTCATTTTAGTAGCTATTACATATGAGAAGAAGAGTTCGTCTATTATTTCTTATACCTCATGTTGAGAAGATGGAGAAACTTATAAACTTCTGATGGGATTTGGATTTGAAACATCAATATAGTTTTTCTCTCTATCCTTAGAATTGGAGATCGTCTTTAATAAACCTTTGGTACTTGAACTTTGTGTTTCATTTTGCTGATTCTGTTTTTAAGTACCCAGGACCTCATACAAGAGCTCCAAATATATCTCCTACAATATGATCGTGCTGGTTATGGAGAGAGTGATCCACATCCAAAGCGCTCAGTAAAGAGTGAAGCATTTGACATTGAGGAGCTAGCTGATAAGTTGCAACTAGGACCCAAGTTCTATGTGCTTGGCTTGTCCATGGGAGCCTATCCTCTGTGGAGTTGCCTAAAGTACATACCACATAGGTATCATTTTCATCTTTTTACGTTCCTTTGATTTTCCTAATTTTTAAAATTAGAAACTCGGAGAATTTCCATTTTCAGTCCTTTTATTCGACAAATTGAATGTCCACGCAGGCTGGCTGGAGTTGCCCTTGTTGTTCCATTTGTAAATTACTGGTGGTCCTGTTATCCTGCAAAACTATCAAAAGAAGCCTTGGGAAAGATGCTTCCTCAAGATCAGCGAACATTTCGGGTTGTACATTATGCCCCATGGCTGGTTCATTGGTGGATGAACCAAAAGTGGTTCCGTGCTTTAAGTATTACCGAAGGGAATATGGCCATATTTAGTCCTCCAGATCTAGAAATAGTGAAAAAGTTATCAGGTGCCCCTAGTCCTGGTCAGGTAAATGATTCTCACTTTCGTTTTCGATGAGAGAGAAGATTATATTAATTAAAGAAAGAGAATTTCCCCGTTATAAAAGAAGTATACAATGCAAAGAGCTATATAAACTTAGTCCTTTCTACAAAAGACGTTGTCTACAGATATAGGGATCCCAATACTTATGCCAAAAGTAAACGAAGAAACATCATGATGTTTCCTATTCGGGAAGCTGTTGTGTTCCTTCCTTTCAAGTAACATCACGGTGATATGAAAATATCAGCGAAGTTTTTAAATACCTAGCCAAATAAACATTTCGATGAGATCATATCAAGATGTGGTCTTTGGTTGCGTGTTCTCTTCTCTAGGTATTTATGAAAAGATTAACATTTTGATAGTTATGCTCTTCCATTGGCAGAAACCGTCATAATGCTAATTTTTCTCTAGTCTATTCTTAACGGATGATGTTGTTGATGAAATAAGTGAGGAAGACATGTAATGCTGTACTAGCTATTTGCTTACTGTTAAGGTTGTCATAATTCTGGAACTATATTTTTCCAGGAAAAGGTTCGACAGCAGGGCGAGTTTGAATGTTTGTATCGGGACATGATAATAGCATTTGGAAACTGGGACTTTGCTCCAACAGAGATCACAAATCCTTTTCCAAATAACGAAGGTTCTGTCCATCTTTGGCAAGGCCACGATGACAGAATTATCCCACGTGAACTCAACCGTTATCTGGCAGAGAAGCTTCCGTGGATTCAATATCATGAGGTTCCTAATGCTGGACATTTGTTAATTTACAATGCTAGTTTTTGTGAAACCATCTTGAGGAAACTTTTGACTAGTTGAGTGAGAAACTGTATGATGTAAGTTTAGCGTCATGTATTTGTGAGTAAGATGGTAACTTCCACGAGCGAACCTGTGATTAGCAGCTTAAGCAATAATTGTGAACTTTATTAGCTTTTGTAATAAATCTTAGGTAAAAGTTTACCATTATGTACTGTTTCAGCTAAGGCTCTCTTATCCACCCTTGAGCTTTGCTCTTAGATTATTGTGTTCAATTTCTGGTTGTTCTGTAAAACAATTAACATGTTTTAGGTACATTAGGAAGGAACATTATTACATATAGTGGTATCATGCCATAGGAACATTGGCTTTCAAGTGCTATTATATGCTAATAACAGAGTTTTGTTTTAATTTTTGTAACATGTCAAGGCTATTTCCGATAGACACTCGGCTCGAGAAGACGAAAAGAGACAATATATCAGTACCATCAACAGAAACTATAGAAATAATAACAACATCATAAGAATCAGAAAATAGATGAAAAACAAAAACAATAACCAGTAAATAAGGCCCGGCACTGTGAAATACATCATCCAATAAGTACAAAAAAAGGGGAAAAAAGGAAATTCAATATGTAACATCTGAACATTGTTATGTGAAAGTGATGACTATAAGCTATGACTTAATTGGATAATATAGGTTTGTATGGTGGAGTTTACCCAATCAAAAGAGACCTTAAAATGGCTTCACAAACTGTAGTATCATAGATCAATAGATGTCCATTATTAGGAACTTCATGATATTGAATCCAAGGTAACCTTTCTGCAATATGCCTTTGTATTTTCAGATTAATAACTTTATCCTCACTGCCTTGCCAAATGTGAACACAACTCTGACCATTTTCAGGAAAAGGATTGCTTAGCTCCGAAGGATCAAAATCCCAACTACTAAAAGCCACAAGGAAATCACTGCAAAGGTTGTTGAAAATACTTCTGTTCCTTAGTTTTTCCTGTACCATGGCAAGTAGAAAATCCCACCTTACTCTCAAGAAGTTATATTTAAGATGATTTATGTATCTAAGTCCAATTTGGCATTAAAAGTGCAGCCGGTACACAAACCATCCCGCATTCACGCAGGATCCGGGGAAGGACAATCACACCTTAAGGGGCGTGATGTAAACAGCCTAACCTAATGCAGCATTCCTAGGGATATTATGTAGACAACCTAACCTAATGCAGCACCTTAAGGGGTCCACGGAAGAGCAATCGCACTTTAAGGGTGTGATGTAGACAGCTAACCTAATGCAGCACCCCAAGGGGTATGATGTAGACAACCTAACCTAATGCAGCACCCCAAGGGGTATGATGTAGACAGCCTAACCTAATGCAGATGCAACACTTAAGGGGTCTGGGGAAGGGCAGTCGCACCTTAAGGGTGTGATGTAGACAACCTAACCTAATGCAGATGCAACACCTTAAGGGGTCCGGGGAATGGCAGTCGCATCTTAAGGGGTGTGATGTAGACAACCTAATGCAGCATCCCAAGGGGTATGATGTAGACAACCTAACCTAATGTAGCACCTTAACGGGACCGAGGAAGGGCCGTCCCACCTTAAGGGGTATGATGTAGGCAATCTAACCTAATGCAGCATCCCAAAGGGTATGATGTAGACAACCTAACCTAATGCAACACCTTAAAGGGTTTGAGAAAGGGTCATCGCATCCCAAGGGGTGTGATGTAGACAACCTAACCTAATGCAGGTATTAGTGGCCACGAAGATAACGTCCAAGGGCCCCCCTTCACAATGCAAAAGACAATTTGGACATATATAAAAACTAGTACATAAAACATTGAGATAACTGCGAATTTAAATTAAATTTTACCGGACTAAAACCTTGAAATCCTGGTAGATTCTTTATAATCTCTAAATCCTTGGAAGTAAAGTATGTAGATTTTGGATCATTGGTAGAAGTTTTTCGAATGGCCCACCACTGTAATAATTTAGGAATATATTTAGCAGTCATAGTCATCAACCAATAGTCTTTCTTCCTTTGATCATCCTTTGTGAGATTGTGAGGAAGGGATGGCCATTGGTAATTCACAATGGGAACAACAAACGCTACCCCGGCTAACCTGTAACATTAAAATATTAAAAGGAAAAAATAGTTTTATATTATAGAAAAATGAACGGTCACAAAGAAATTAAAACAAGGAATGTAAGCGTAATATTTATAAATTATAATGCGAAGTTAGTGTTACAAAGTAAAACTTAGGTGTGTATGTATGTAGGTATATATACACATATACACAAATATCAAGTTGGATAGTAGGTGTCTAGGGGTTGTAGTGTTTTAGCGACGGATTCAATGCGGAGTAACAATTTATACACAAAAATTCATTAAATTGTAAAAAAGTAGATATGAACCCATAACTTTAAAATATAATGAGTTCGATGCTAAAAACCTTAAAAGTTGAACCCGTAGGTTTAAATCTTGGATAGTAGGTGTCACCTTATAGGTAGTGAATCTCAATTTTCAAATACTTTTTTTCAACTTAACTTAAATATTACTTTATTCAAATATCTCCAAGTTCAAGTCCTATCGTCTACTGTCCATAATTTTTTTTCTTTTTTTTTTTTCTAAAAAAGAAATTTTAAAAATATGTTTGTCCATGAAATTTTGCAAGTTCTTGAAAAAAATTGAAAATGAGAAAAAAAATTCAGATTTTTTTTGTCCCACTCGTAAAACTGTAACATTTTTTCAAGTGAAAAGCATGTCAAAATATAATTTCAAATTCCAAATGTCATTTTTTCAACTTAACTCCAATTACTATTTTTTATCCAAAAATTACAATTTTTATGTCCAAACGCCTACTACATCTTTCCAACGGCACTTTCGTTTTTATGGTATATTCTTGAATTTCATGAAACCTCTGGTTAAGAATGCAAAAGAGTTAATCTTACCTGTGGGGAATGTGTTTGATGCAACCCCAAGTTGGGTAACATCCCATTGAGCTACAAATAATATAGAACTTTGATCCTAATTGCAAGTTATCAGCCAATTCCTCAATGTCAGATGCTTCACTCCTTAGGGATCGTTTTGGGTTTGGATCACTTTCCCCATATCCAGATCGATCATATTGAATTAGATATATCCCCATCTTGTTCATCATTTCCTGTTCATTATTTCAAGAATCAAACAACTACATCCTAATTAACTCATTTTATTAATTGGTATATATATGTAAGTACGTATTGCTCCTATACCTACTTGTCTGATTAATTCGAATTCACGCTAAGATTTACTCTCTCCGGTCCTCTTTAAATGATTTTTTGGCTTTTTCACGCATATTAAAAAATTCATCTTTTAGCATTAATTAACAATGAAATTGACCATATTAACCTTAATTTGCTCATTAAATATATAACAGACTACTCCTGAGCTCTTTACTCCAAGGGCAACTTTGGAAAGAAAAAATTAATTCATTCTTGATATTTGAAAAAATCAAATATTGTGGACCACAAAAAAAAAGCCAAAAAATCACTTAAAGTAGACTAAAGAGAGTATTAACATAGAAATTTCTTGATATTTGATAGACTTTGATCGAATTCTGAATTCGGAAGTTTTGGAATTCTTAGGCTTGAATCCGAGGGTGATTTGATGTTTTGATATTGCTTTGAGCATTCCGAAGGTTGGAACAAGTTTGAATTATGTTATGGGGTGTGTTGGCATATTTGGTTGGAGTCCCATGAGGCTCAGATAAGTTTTGGAAGAGTTTTTGGAAGATTTTTGCCGTTTTGAGCATAAGCATGTAATGATCCAAAGGTCCATTTTTAGTCTAGAGATCGGAATTTGATTTCGAGACCTCCAGAATTTAAATAATGAATTATAGGAGTGATCTGGAAAGTTTGGAAAAATTTATATAGTCGCGATTGAGTTTTTGACATGAAACATGAGTTAATTGTTTAACGAGCGAAATGAGTATTGAATTGAGCAAATGAACTCCGAATTGAGTTTTGATTGAAGAACTATGTTCGTATTATTATTTGTGACTCATAGGAACAAGAATCATCGAATTCCGGGTTCGTATGATGGAGTTAAAGCCTTTTTAGTGAAAAGAAAAGCTGTTGCAATTGCCTTAGACAACTGCTGGATTTTTTTAGCAGCTTAAACAGTGACGCGTGAACAGTACCCCGAAAATTTTTGAGCAGTTAAAGGGGCAGTCCATTTTTTTCCATTTTTTTCTTAGTTCCAAGCTCGGATTTTGGGCAATTTTGAGCGAAAAATCACGGAAATTCTTGAGGTAAGTCCCTTATGATCATTGTTAGTCAATATTATTGAATTATCATTGAATATTCTGGCTATATTACGTGTTTTTGAGGTGTAAATCGGAAATTTAGGCCTAGAGATTTGAAAATAAGATTTGATGGTTTGGAGGCCAAATTGTTGTCGGAGTTTGGAAAAATTTGTATGGTTGGACTCGTGGTTGGGTGAGGTTTCATATTTCGTAATTTTTGTCGGGTTCCGAGATGTGGGACCCACAGGCGAACTTTTGAGTACAATTTCGATTTTTTTAATGAAAAATGTAGAATTTCATATGGAATTAATTCCTATAATTTTTATTAACTGAATCGAATTATTGTGACTAGATTCGAGACATTCGGAGGTCGATTTGAGATACAAATGCATTGTGGAGTAGTATTTTGCTCGGATTGAGGTGAGTAATGATTGTAATAGATGTCCTAAGGATTTGAAACCCCGGATTGCACATCGTAGTGCTATATTGAGGTGAGACACGCGCTGGATGATGAGTGCGAGGTCTTTTACTACTGGGGATTGTGACTTGGTCCGTCCCGATTGATGATTTTACTGCATATTTGACTGAAATTGATTTGTTATCATCATGATTTGGGCTGATTGCTATATTTGGGCTTCGTGCCAATTATTTGAACCCTTCGGAGATTTTTATCACTATTTCCTCACTGTTTTGACTTATATTTAAACTCAGTCCTGTTGATAATTATTGTTTTACAAACTCAGCTGATTTTATACAGATTTGAAACTCAAATGACATTACTAAATGATATTTTGGGCTGAGAACTACTGTTTTACAAATGCCCGAGGGGCTTATGATGATTTCGGACTGAGTGAGGCCGAGGGCCTGAGTTACTATTTATGCCACGTGGTGGCTTGAGTGATGTGAGGATATGCTGAGTGATGATGCCACGAGGTGGCTTGATATAGCGCTTGGGCCGTAAGGGGCCCCTCCGGAGTCTGTACACCCACGGTGAGCGCGGGTACCCATTGTTCTGAGTGATTGATACTATTCTGAGCCCGAGGGGCTGATATGAGTGATTGTAAGGTAGCCCGAGGGGCTGATACTATACTAAGTGATTGATACTGTGCCCGAGGGGCTGATACTATACTAAGTAATTGACATTGTGCCCGAGGGGCGGATTTCTACTTGTTATTTACCGCCAAATTACCTGTTTTACTTGTTTTAAAAGAGATTTAGATTGATATTTCACTGATTTATTGTTTTAAGTGATTTACTGCTTCTGTATAGAATGCTTTGTGCCTTCACGTGTTTTCTTGCTTTCAGCCATTATTTATATTTGTTACTCACTAGGTCAGAGTACTCACATTACTCCCTGCACCATGTGTGCGGATTCAGGCATAGCAGATTTCCACTCCTGAGAGCTGATCCTTCCGGTCCAGGTGGTGTTTCGGAGACTACGAGGTAGCTGCTGGCGTCCGCAGCCCCGTGCCTCCCTTATCTTATCATTTCCATGTTAATCGAACTATTGTATCAGATTTCGTATTTAGTAGACTTGTATCAGGATTCATTAGTTGCTCATGACTTGTGACACCCTGGTTAGGGCTGTGTCGGGTTTAGATTTCCGCATTTTATTTATACTTTCCGCTACTTGATATTCTTAAACCATGATTATACTTTATTTGTGTTAACTTACTGTTTTAAAGAACGAATTGGGTTAGACTGGCTGGCCTTGTCTTCACGAGAGGTGCGATCACGATCAGGTTCGGGATCGTGACAAGTTGGTATCAGAACCTAGGTTACATAGGTCTCGCGAGTCATGAGCAGGTTTAGTAGAGTCTCGCGGATCGGTACAGAGACGTCTGTATTTATCCTCGAGAGGCTGCAGAACCTTTAGGAAAAAAATCATATTCTTGAAATTCTTGTCGTGCGACTTTTTTGATCCGAGAACTAAACTTCTGTATTCTATTCTCTCGCAGATGGTGATGACTCGTGCTACCGGATGAGGTGGACGACCACCAGTGCTACTAGCTGCGACCACCAGAGGTCGAGGACGCGGTCGTGGTAGGGGTAGGGCAGCGGGAGCAGCACCTATTGATCCACCAGCTGCCCCAGCCCAAGATCAGGCACCAGCTGTGCCCATTGTGATTCCGAGTTTTCAGGAGGCTTTGGCACAGATCTTATCAGTTTGCACTAGCTTGGCTCAGGCGGTTTCAGCCACTACAGCCGCAACTACTTCACAGGTCAGGGAAGGCACCCGGACTCCTGTTAATCGCGCACCTGAGCAGGTAGTGCAGGGACTTCAGACCCCAGAGGCACCTCCAGCCCAGCCAGTTGCACCAGCTCAGTGGTTTATAGTACCAGTTATGCCAGATGATGAGCAGCGTCGACTTGAGAGGTTTGGTAGACTCCAGCCTCCATCATTCAGTGGTGCTGAGGGCGAGGATGCCCAGGGTTTTCTTGACAAGTGTCAGCGGATGCTTTGTACAGTAGGGATACTTGAGACTAGTGGTGTATCATTTACCACCTTCCAGTTTACTGGGGCTGCCGTCACTTGGTGGGAGGCGTATGAAAGACGTAGGCCGGTTGGTGCAGCGCCCCTTACTTGGCAGGAGTTCTCCACTCTCTTCTTGGAGAATTATGTACTGCAGTCCCGCGGGGAGGAGCTGCGTAGACAGTGCTGAAGTATGGAGATATGACTGTATCGTAGTATGAGGCAAGGTATTCTGAGTTGGCTCGTCATGCCGGGTGGATGGTTCCGACAGATCGTGAAAGGATCAAGAGGTTTGTGGATGGCCTTAATTACTATCTCCGTATTCTGATGACTAGAGAGAGAGTATTGGGTATTTCATTTGAGGAGGTGGTATATATCGCTCGTGAGATTGAGACGGCTCGCCGCCAGGATAGAGAGGAGAGGGAGGCTAAAAGGCCTTGAGGTCTAGGCAGTTACAATGGTTCTCCTTCGAGGAGCCAGTTCCAGCATGGTAGAGGTCATTCTTTCAGGCCTGCTCAATCGGCCCGTCCAGAGTATCACGGGGATCTTCAGGTCGTGGTTATCATGGTTCTCAGTAGGGTCAGCCTTTACTTAGCGCCCTTCCAGCTTAGACCTCATCTCGTGCTCCGTCAGCTCAGGGTTCTTCTATGCCGAGTGTATCAGCTAGTCACTCTGGTGTGAGGGGTTCCCTTCAGCCTTCTCCACACCTGGGAGTTGTTTTGAGTGTGGAGAGTTTGGGCATGTGTGGAGGCAATGTCCTCGTCGTGTTGCTAGTTTGTCCCAGCAGAGGGGTCAGCCCTCGACTTCTGCTCCAGTTACTTCACCACTCGCCTAGCCAGCCAGGGGTGGAGGTCAGGCACCAAGGGTTGCCCCAGAGGGGGAGGTCGATCAGGCGGTGGCCAGGCTCGTTTCTATGCTATTCCAGGCAGGACAGATGCTATTGCTTCAGATGCTATCATTATAGGTATTGTTCCAGTCTGCCACAGAGATTCCTCTGTATTATTCGATCCCGGTTCCACCTATTCTTATGTGTCTTCATATTTTGCTCATTATTTGGGTACGCCCCGGGAGTTTCTTTCCTTACCTGTTCATGTATCTACCCCGATGGGCAATACTGTTATTGTGGACTGTGTGTACCGGTCATGTGTTGTGACTATTGGGGGTCTGGAGACCCAAATTGATCTATTGCTATTGAGCATGGTGGACTTTGATGTTATTTTGGGCATGGATTGGTTATCTCCGTGTCATACTATTCTAGACTGTCATGCTAAGACAGTTATATTGGCTATGCCGGGTGCACCGCGGATCGAGTTGCGTGGTATGATTGATTATGTTCCCATTAGAGTGATTTATTTCCTGAAAGCCCAGCGTATGGTTGGGAAAGGTTGTCTTTCATATCTTGCAT